TGTGAATCACCATTATATACTTTTATCTTTTCATGTCTTTTTCTAGACTCATTTTTAGATTTCAAATAATGAATGTTCAGACAATAATGATAATAGTAAGGGACTCAATTTTAAAAACTTATTTATATTGATAAACGTGGTCTCTGAAGATTATTTGACTAAAAGGAGTTCAAATTACTATAAAGTTTCTATTTATTGAAAAGTAAAATAAAGATGTCTCATAAGCATGTGGTTTTTTATGATGATTTATCCGTAAGACAAGTTTATGTTTAATAAATGAACTTTAAAGAAAGTATTCATATTTGAAATGAGAAATGACCATATTTTTTTACCTTTCGTGAAAATGAAATTTGTCTATTTATTATCCATTTTGAGCCTATTATGATTTTTTTTCTAAAATCCTTAACCAAGGATCACCTTTCACATTATAGGGTAAATTTTGAAAAAGATGGCTTGCAAAAAAAAAAAAAGATCACAAAAGATTTTAAAGATGAAGATTGAAAAAATTCTTTTATTAAAAGAAAGGTGAATGTCACAAATGATATGAAGTTTAAAGTAAAAAGATCTTTTTGTGAAGAAATTCTTCTTGAAGAGAAAAAAATGAAGAAATGATGTGAAAAATAAAAAGATGGAAAAGAAAAATGAAAAGGAAAAGGAAATGTGAAAAAATGATAAAGAATAGGGTAAAATGCCAAGGTGCTTCAAATGATAAAATGGCCTTTTGGTTTATAACCCTTTCAAACATATGTTTTGAGATTATTTTATCCTTTTTTTTTCATAACCCTTTACCTTAGCCTATGTTACGTGTCTTAAAAGTTCATTTTGATCAAATATGAATATTTGAATTGAAGAGTTGGATATTGAACTAAGGAATGCTTGTCATAAGACAATGAGACCATGATTTGTTCCAGCATTTTGGGATTCGTTTGAAATTAGATAAGGATATCAATAATGAAAAAATGAGAAAAAGAAATGAAAGGAAGAAAAATGAGAAAGATGTGAAACATGAAAAAAAAAGAAAAGAAAAGGAAGAACCAAATAAAAAACCTAAAAGGTTGATTTGGTTAGAAAATATTTGAGTTGAAAAAATCAATGTCATCTAATAATTCTATTGAATTGAGGCAAGGTTTGATAAACTTAATGGTTTAGGAATTCAATAGATTGAGTTTTTTTAAAAAGAATTATGAATTAGAATTCAAAATTGTCTAAATATTCATTATTTAAATGTTAATATCTCATTCAAACAGTAACAGTAATTTTCTTTTATTCATTTGTTCTTGACTAGATTTCTTTTATTCCTTTCAATAATGAATAACCATTTCTTCTCATTTTCTTGTTCTTTACCAAATTTGCATCCTAGAATGAATTAAGAAAATGTATGACTGCATTACATTTACCTTGAGTTGAAATGATGATAAATAAATGAATGATAATGTTTATAAAAAATTCTTGCATTCCTTTGAAAATAAATCCAAAGATGACAAGGGTAAGAAGAGAATGAAATGAGACAGGTGAAAGAGCTTGAGAAAATATTTTACTGATATGGTGACCAAGTGATGAAAACAATGATGGATCGATTAACGGAGTTTGTAAGTTTTGACCAAATGATGAAAATGATAATGGATCAGTTGATGGAATTTATGAGTTAATTATGAAATTATTGTACGAAAAAGTTAAAAAGGAAAATTATGAATGATGAGAGTAAAAAGAGATCATACACAGTTATGATTGCCTAAGAGATGAAAAAAAGTAAAGGATCGAAAGTTGAAGAATGAAGGCATTGAAAGGATCTTAAAAACCTTTTTGCCATGATTAGAGTTTCATTCATGACATTGCATTCATGAAATTTGTTTCATAAAAAGTTATGATCTTAGATCTTGAAATGATGATTAATGAGAGTGTGAAATGTTTTCCTTGATTTTTATCCTTGGTAAAGGATATTTTTGGAGAATATGATTTGATTCCCGATAAAATTTTTTTTTGAAAGAACGAGTATGGTAATGATCCTCGATTGAGGAAATATTTTTGCAAAAATAAGAGTTTGATAACATTTTGATCCTTATATGAGGAAAATATGATGAATATAAAGTTTTAAACCTTTAAATGAAAAAATTATTTCAAGAAGAGTTGGTAAACCTTGGTTAAGGAGATCTTTCATTTTTAAAGTTTCATAACCTCTGCTTAAAAGAGTTTTTTCATTATAAGATAAGAATTTTTTATACGAAGTTTTAAGATTTCAAGTGAGAATCTTTGAATCTTATATTTGAATCTTTTAGATTTTTAAATATAAGTTTTTGAATCCTTGATGCGAATCTTAAAGACTTAGCAAATTTGAAGAATCTTTTGATGAGAATCTTAAATCTTCGATTTGAATATTTGAATGAATCCTTAATCTTTTTTAGATAAAAATCCCTTTTATACTTTAAAGTTGTTGAGTCTCTGATGAGATGAGCTTTTTATATATTTTAAAGTTGTTGAGCATTTGATGAAAGGAGCCTTTTATATTTTTCGAAGTTATTAAATCTATGATGAGAGGAGTTTTTTAAATTTTTTAAAGTTGTTAATCTTTTGATGAGAGGAGCTTTTTATATTATTCTAAGTTATTGAGCTTCTGTTGAAAGAAACTTTTTAAAACTTTTAAAGTTGTTGACCCTTTGATAAGACGAGCTTTTAAATTTTTTTAAAATTGTTGAACCTCTGATGAGAGTAGCTTTTTAAATATTTTAAAGTTCTTGAGCCTCTGATGAAATAAGTTTTTTATATTTTTCAAAAGTTATTGAACCTCTGATGAGAAATGTCTTTTATATTTTACAAAGTTGCTAAGCTTTTGTCGATGGGGTTTTATTAAGATGAGATTTTAAAACTATTAAAAAAATATTTTTAAATATCAATCTTTGATGAGAATTTCTAAATTTTTTGAATGTGAATTTTTGAATTTTATATGTAAATCTCTAAAATTTTTCAAATGCGTATCTTCGAATTTTTTGCAAATCTTAAATTTTTTTTGAATCTTGAACTTTTGTGAATCTTTGAATTCAATTGCAAATCTTTGAAATCTTACAAATCTTTAAATTCTTACGAACCTTTGATTTTCTTACAAAAATTTGAATTTATTTTTGAATCTTTAAGCTTTTGGGAGAACCTTGAATGTTTTGTAAGTATTTAAATTCAAATTGAGAATATTTGAATTCAATTACGAACTTCTAAACTTCAAGTTAAGAATACTTGAATTTCAAATTGCGAGTGTTTGAATTTTCACTTGCGAACTTTCGAATTTTAGTTGCAAATTGCGAATCTTTATTTTAAGTAAGAATTTCTAGATTTTTTTCTTTCGTGTCGAATTTGGATGTGATAAATATCTATATTTTTGCACAATTCATATTACACCAAAAATGCATAAATTTAGATAGCTATAGACAACCCATTTTGTTTAGGGTTTGAAATTTTTTCGATTTTCAAATCCCAAAGTTTTCTTTATCCATTAATTAAAACTTTGGGCTTGTCTAATTGCACTCGGTTTTAGATTTGGGTCTTAAACCCAAATAAATGTTTTTTTTTTAATTTATCTAGTTTATTAATTTATTTTATTCATTTTTTTAAAAAATCATAAAATTAAAAAAAAAAGTTTGGGAAGGCTAAATTTGTTTAGGACTTGTTCTTTTGGATTAAAAGGTTTTCGATTGAAATTAAAATCTGAACTTGAAGTAACATGTGTTATCATTTTAACTTCGCTTCTGATGTTAAAAAATTTTACTACCAATGTATTAAATAATTTTTCTATATGAGAAATTAGCAATCCACTAATATTTAATAACTTTCAATCATTCTTTAAATTTTTTATTTTTTATATTTTTATAAAATTTTGAAAATTATCTTCCTAATTACACAATTATCCTTGTCGTTATAGGTAAAAATATTTCAAACAAAATTTTTTATTACTATAACTGAATTTAATTTTTAAAATTATACATTATAAATACAAATTTGTTTTTTAATTTTTTATAACTATACATCATAAATGAAAATTTTACAATACCAAAAGTCAAAATTGAAAAATTTTATGAGTTAATGGAAATATAACGTTAAATAATTTAATTATCATTGATAAAATTTTGAGTAAAAGATTACAAATGATAAAATCTAACATTATTCAAGTTCCAATTTAATTTAACATTAAAAGTTAATAACTTAAAATCAGAGATATCTAAATTTGAACTATCTGAATTCAAATATCTAAATGTAAAAGCATGAATGACCTGTATCTGAAATTAGGTAAGCATAAGATAATGCAAATTCAAAATAATTTAAATACAAAATTATTCCAATTCAAAATTATCTGAAATAATTTAAATTTTCTTCGATACAAATTGAGTCAACTAAAAGTGATGGACTCAAATCACGCCTACGTCCCCATTAGGCATTAGCTATTTAGCTACCTCCAAGCGGCAGCAATAAGATGAGTTGTGATTCTGGGCAGCAGTGGGGAATGGGGCCATGCGCATTTGCCGATGCAACAGTAAAACCTCAGCTACAATTAGGGGGCGTGGTGCTCTAGTTCGTGTATTTGTTTAATACTTCGGCTTACGCCTGTACCTATACATGTAAACCAAACAAATATTCAGTACTAAAAGTTGTTAGTACAACAGTAATTTTTCTATTAGCTTCTCAGAAAATGAAAGCTTTTCTTTGCTTATTAAAAAAATTAAATAAAATAAAAAAGAGTGTCCCGTGAACGGCGTAAAACTTCAGTCTTCACACTACTAGGACATGAAATGTCCAAATGGGGGGTTTCTCAAGATCCTTCAAAGTTTTACGCTTTGTTTAAATGACTTTCGCGTAAATGACAATTTCAAAATTACCATTACATTCCTCCCCAATTCAAAGTGTTTGAAAGAGTGATAAATAAATTCGAAAAGCAAACCGCTTTGATAAAGTTAAAAAGGAAGAGGGAAAGAAAGCAAGGAAAATAGGGCCCTGACCCTCGGCCTTGTAGTGTTGCATTGGGCCAGCCAGCGCCCATTCCTAATGAGTTTTCTCATTTGTTTGTCTTCACTCCACCTTCAGTTCACGTGACAACTTCTTCTCCTACCCAGACTCCCAACTCTAAGTCTCTAAGAACCTAGGCAGATAGAACCCTCAAAAGCACTCAACAAAATCAGATTCAGATCGACCCTTTGATGACCTCTATCACTTGCAAAGTCTTCTATCTTCCTTCATGCCTCCACCACCATCAATCTCCACTCTCTTAGCCACCTTTTTCTTCATCTTTCTCCACCAGCTGCTCACTATAGCTACTTTAACTAATCAATCATGTTCCTCCCATCCAGAAACCTTCTCTAGATCTCCATGCCCACCCTTCACTTCAACACCTCCTTTTCCTTTCTCTCTATCTGTAGGGTGCGGCCACCCCTCTTTCCACATCAAATGCTCCACTCCTTACTCTACCATCTCCATCAACAACCTCTCTTTTTCTTTACTCAAGTACGAACCCAACTCCACTTCCCTCACTCTCTCTCTCCTACCCCTAGCAAAACCCCGTTCCAATTGTTCTTCTTTTCATTTCCTTTCCATTTCCAATCACTTCATCGATCTCTCAGGTACCCCATTTCGAATCTCAGATGGTTCTTGCTCTAGACTATCCGTCCTCCATTCTTGTTCCCCTCCAAATCTCCCCAAATGTAGCCAATGCCCTTGGGAATGTAGGCTCATCAAAAACCCAGTCAAACTCCTCCATGGCTGCGGATCCACCCGCTTTCTTCCAGAACAAGGCTGCCAAGCTGACGTCTTGGGTTACCTCGAAAATTTCTTCTTCAAAATGGGTTTTCAAGTGGAATGGGACGAAGCTCAAGACTCCTACTTCTCAAGCTGCAAAGACTGTAAATCGAAGAACGGTTTTTGCGGCTTCAACTCCTCAGACCCCAATAAACAATTCCTTTGTTTCCAATCCAAAACCACCATTTCCCCACCTTGGATTAAGGTAGATCACCCTCACAGAATCGCAATCTTATCCTCTGTCTTCACATTAACATGCATTTTCCTTGTTATGTCAGTAACCATTGCTATTTTTCGATCCAAAAAACTCAAATCCCAATCCATAGAAGAAGACCCAACAACTTTATTCCTCCACCGTCACCGTTCCGCTAGTCTCCTCCCTCCCGTTTTCACCTACGAAGAGCTAGAATCTTCCACCAACAATTTCGACCCAAAACGCAAAATCGGCGATGGCGGCTTCGGGTCCGTTTATTTAGGCCATCTTCACGACAATCGAATCGTAGCCGTTAAATACCTCCACAAAAACAACCAGTCGGGCAAAGCTTTATCAACCAAATTTTTCTGTAACGAAATCTTAATCCTTTCTTCAATTAACCACCCAAATCTCGTTAAACTTCACGGGTATTGCAGCGACCCCAGAGGGTTACTTTTGGTTTACGATTATGTCCCCAATGGAACCCTCGCTCACCACCTTCACGGTCGTCCGAAAACCTCGCTTTCGTGGCAAGTGAGGGTCGATATCGCTTTGCAAACGGCTTTAGCTATCGAGTATTTGCATTTCTCCGTTGTGCCGCCGATTGTTCATCGAGATATAACGTCATCAAATATTTTCGTTGAAAAAGATATGAGGATTAAAGTAGGGGATTTTGGGCTTTCCAGGCTTTTGGCTTTCCCTGAAAACTCGTCCTTAAAGTCGGATTTCGTTTGGACTGGGCCTCAGGGAACGCCCGGGTATTTGGATCCGGATTATCACCGGTCATTCCGGTTAACGGAAAAAAGCGACGTTTACAGCTTCGGCGTCGTTTTATTGGAGTTGATTTCCGGGTTAAAAGCGGTGGATCAAAGGAGGGAAAAAAGGGAAATGACATTGGCTGATTTGGTTGTTTCGAAGATCCAGATGGGATTGTTGCATCAGGTGGTGGACCCTGATTTGGTCCTTGCTGGGGAAGCCATGGACGGTGTTGAAGCGGTGGCGGAACTGGCGTTCCGGTGCGTCGCGTCTGATAAGGATGATAGACCGGATGCCAGGGAGATCGTGGGGGAACTCAAACGGATCAATAGCCGTACACGTGTGCTTAGAGTGTCTTGTTCGAATGGAAGTAAAGCCGACGTGGCAAAGGGTTGATTTCGATTTTACGTGACGTTGGGTCTTGTGGGGATTTTGACCTGACATGTATCAGAATGTTTATTTAGTTTTTACTGTGGTTGTTTTGCATCATTTAGTTTGGGTAAATTTTGGGAACGTACGTTGTACAGTGGAGTAATCAGAAAAAAAATGAATTTTAGACCCACGAGTTTGCAATTAATGTTCCAATATGTATGCTACAAGTTGTGGTGATAGTATATGGGTTTTGTCGGTTTGAATATTGTTGAATAGATGTTTGATTTTTTTGGTAGGGTAATGCTTTTTTTCCCCCAAAAAAGGGGCCAATGCTTTCCTAAAATGCAACAATTATGAGCAATGTTATTATACCATACACCCCTGTGTCTCTTATTTATTTTTAATGTGGTAACATTTTATTAAACAATTTAGGGATGAAATCCATCCATTTATAGTAGGTCAAATCATTTATAAATATAATGTATAAATTTAAATTATTTGAGGTTTATAGAATATAAAAATAGAAGTAAGGATCAACAAGCATTTTCAAATCCTTGCACATTTTCATTTGACATTGGAACTACCATTTAACTCAGTCCCCAAAGTAGCGGAAAAGAAATTTAACATTTATAGGCCATTTCCTGTGCCAATATCACATCACAGTTGCCTGTTCTGCTCAGATGTAGCTCAAGAGTGCAGAAGGTATGGCATGGCTTTTTTTGTAAACAGGGTCGGTGGGTGCCTATGCAATTGGTCAAATGCGCTAAAAAGGCTTTGCATCCCCCTTACCAAACCCACATTTTTGTCTAAAATATGGACAATTCAGAGAGCAGATCCAACAGGATGGCGGATGCTTAAAATTTTCAGGATCCGTGAATTTTAAAAATCGTCACATTTACATCGAGCGGTACGCATTTATAGTATACACATGTTAGTTGTTCCTGTCATTGTTCAAAAACCATACGTTTTGTTTGTCATTTTGTTAAGGTTAAGTTTAGCAATGTCAAATGAGTCAAGGTCGGTATAATTCATTTAAATAGTAACTTATCTGTTAAAAAGTTATGTTAGTTCAGTATTATTTTTTAACATATTATACTGATATTGTCTATGAAAGTTAAATGTACGGTGTAACATAGTACATAACCTGATATTGTGTAAGGTAGGTATGTCGTTTTTCGTGCTGAAAATTTATTAAATAAAAATATTAAAATTACAATCTTAATATTTAAAAGAACATGCACACTCATACATATAAAAGATATTATAAAACATAAAAATATTATTCTATTTTTATTATCCTCATATGATAATTCACTTATATAATGTGTTTTATCTTATGCATTTATTTTATACCTTATCTTATAATAATTTATTTTGTTAATTAAAATTTTTTTAATTTGATTTTTATCATTTTATTTTTACTAATCACTAATTAAATATAATTTATTTGTCAATAGTTTAAATATTTTATAAGTATATTATTCAATATAATTTTATTTTATAAATTATCAACAAAACATTAAAAGTAAGTATAATTTTATTGCAATATAAAAATAACATGAATACACTTAAAAGTTATGAGCCCATTTATAAAAATTATGAATCAACATGGCACGACTAGGCCTGCATGCTATGTTGTGCTGTGCTGTAACTCATATGTTACTAGTTGGTATTGGCTCTTGAGGGGTGGTATTATCTCAACTCATGAGTTTAAAATCTTTTAATCCAACACAACACATATTTTATATCAGAATATAATTTTCATATTTAGTTTATAGATATTTGATTTTTAAGATAATTTTAGATTTTTAATAGTATCAAAAAATTTTCGAAATCAAAAACTCATTTATCTTTATATTTTTGAAGATTTTGAGAAGAAAATTATTTTTATTTCTCATTTAACTTGAATAACAAGTGTTTTCCTTTTATTTTATCCTTTTGAAAATTAACTTATTACAAACATAGTATTAAAAACCAATAACACAAATACTGCATTTGTTGAAAGTTTTAACGTAATATTTAACTACTTCTTTTTCAATGTGAATTATTTTTTGGATTTTTTTAATAAAACAACGGTATTTTTTGTGAATACAATGTAATATTTGAATACTTTTTTTATATATATTTTTATTCAGATATTGTGTTTGAAAGTTTTGAAATGTGATAATTGTGATTATTTATTATGATTCTTTAAATAAAAATGTAGTATTTAATAATAGGTAAATTTTTTATATTTAAAACAAGTCTTGATTTAAACTATAAAATGGACATGAAAGACGACTTGTGCATTGGAAGTTGGTGTCTACATGGAGTATATTTCTAAAAAAATAATTACATAAATAAATAAAAATAAGCAACAATAAAGTAGGCTCACACATTAATAGAATTTGACGGCAGGTAAATTTATTTTTTTAATATTTTTTGACTTGATTATTGTGTTTACAGGCTTTGAAACGTAATAATTATAATTGTTTATTGCCTTCGAAGCTAAACGCAATATTTGAGTAAGTGTCAATTATTTAATGTGTTTTAAGTTTTTGAAATATAGTAATTATGAATTATTTATTATGTATTTTGGAAGTTAAATATAATATTTTATTTTATCGATTTTTATTAAATTTTCACTCGAATAGTGCATTTCAAATATTTGAAACGCACTAATTATGAATTATTTATTATGTATCTTGAAAGTGAAGTGCATTATTTTATTTTATTTTATTTTTTAATTTTTCATTCGAATGCTACGTTTTTAAGTTTTAAAACGTAATGATTGTGAATTATTTTTCATGTTTCTTAGATGAATAAAAATATAATAATTGATTACTAATTTTTTGTTTATAGTTAATCACTTGAATACTGCATCTTTAAGATTTAAAACGTATTAATTATCATTTTTTTTTTTTATAAATTGTTATGTTTATTATATAATGAAAGACATTATAATAAAAATATTTAATTAAGTAATTTGCTTTTCTCTTCAATCAAACATAATAATTTAACAATTTCATATTATAAATTATTCCTTGTTAGGAATTCACATTTTTTAAAAAAATGGCATTTTTTCTCATAATTTAAAATTTTATAAACCAAATACTCCCTAAAAAATAAATTACATAATCGATCCAAAGTTTTAAGATTTTTTATTTTAATGTTCAACCAGAAAATATACTAATGTTTTAATTGTTAATTTTTTTTTATAAATTTTTTACTTTGATGATACATCTTTAATAATGGAATAATAATGGCTGAGAATTTTGAAATGCCACGCACCTTAAAAGACACGACTTTAATATATATATATATATTAAAAAGTACTCCTTGTGTCCCAATATTTTTGGTTTATTTTTTATTTGGGATGTCTAAACATTATATATATATATATATATGAACATCTAAAATTTTTTTATATTTTAAAATGATTTTTTATGATTTTTTTTTTACTTTTTGACATTAAAAGTTATAAAACTTTAATTTTATAAAAAAAATTAATTTTAACATTAAACACATTAAAATCAAAGTTTTTTTTTTTTTTAAATTCTGTGAAAGTCAATATATTCCAACATTTTGGGATGGAAAGAATAATTAACTTTTCATAGTTTTTTTTTTTTTATATTATCATCTATCATTTATAAAAAAATTTCAAAGATAAAATTTTCAATTTCTTTTTTAATTTGTCGAAGTCATGTTATTTAGACCATGTAATTTTTTAAAATTATAATCATATCATGAATTGCTATCATCATACATGTAGATTTGATAATTCGTATTTTTGTATCGTATTTGATATATTTAATGATATAAATTATTAAAACATAAATATGACATAAATTTTAAAATATATTTAAATCTTAAATACGAATACAATATATTTATTATACGTGTTATATATGATATGATATAACTGATACAAATAATACTAATAACATTGATTATACAGATAAACACGAATAACACTAATATACATAAATAATATTGATACACACAAATAATATTGATATATATGAATAGATAGTAGATATATGCCATTAAACATGGTACTTTATTTAAGGCATATCGACCTTTTAGCTTTAGAGTATTTAAAAAACAACAATAATTTATAAGTTACGTTTTAATAATATTATATTATGTAATATAAAATAAATTATATAATTTTTTATCATTATACATACTATTTAGAATATGTATTGTTTTTAATTTCAAATGTATAATTTTTTATTTTAACTCTTATAATTTAAAATAATAGCATATTATGATTCATGTTATTAAGATGATTATATAATTTTTTATCATTAGAAATGTTATTTATTATCATTATAGTATATTATTACATATTTATATGATTTGAATTTGCTTTACTTTATCAATTATCATATTGTTGGATGTTATTTATTAAGTGATATTTATCCTTCTAAATTCTCTTTTTAATTAAAAAATTATTGTTTAATCTTTTATAAAAAGTTACAAAGAACAACATATATTTAATATGTTAAAATTTATATATTATATATACATTACTAGTATAAAAAATACTTGCATATTTGAAAAATATAAAAAAATTTATACCCATTTAATATGCATTTAACATATATTGTATATATTTAAATTTTAATATATACATTACTAAATAACAATATAAATGTATACATAATTATTATTTTTAGCATCAAATCCAAAATGATGAATTACTAAAGATTAAAGAATAAAATAATGATATATTGTATTAATATTATTATTTATATTGTATTTATATTATTAATATAAAAAAATAATTTTATAATAATTATTAAATTAGTATCATAATTAAATGTTTTAAATAATCTTTAGATGATATATTGAATAACTAATTAGGTATCATAATTAAAAGATTAAAAATAAAAAATTAAAATAATCTTTATATATTTATATTAAATTAAAATAAATATAAAACATATGTTAAACATGTTTTCATGTCGTGTCATGTATTAAATGTATTTCCGTGTAACATGTTTTATTTAAACATATTTTTCATGTGTTATACGTGTTTAAACATATTAATACATATAAAATATAAATTGTATGGTGTTATGTATTAAATGTATTTTTGTGTAACATTTTATTTAAGCATATTTTTCATATCTCATACGTGTTTAAACATATCAATACATATAAAATAAAAATTGTGTCGTATCAAAATTCAAATGAACACAAATAAATATAAAACACATTTTTTAAATTACATACTATTTTTTTCGTGCTATTTTCATATCATATCATTATATCATATCTAAAATTATCAAATCTACATACATAAAAGCCTAGTAACTATTTTGTTACTAAAATTAAATAATCAAAATAAAAAAAAAATTTAAATCGTTGATGACTAAAATGCTGCGTTTCATGGTTGAGTAAACAAAATAAAAAGCCGATCAAAATTGGGTTACCAAACCTGCAATTTATCCTCACGAAAATGTTTATTCAACATGCACTAATTTAAGGTGCATCCATTTATATCAGATGATGGAAATAAGTAATCTACAGGAGAGGTTACATTCTAGTTTCTTTGTATCAGAAAATTCAACCTCTTAATTAAAACTACAGCACAGGAATTATTATTTTATATATAGAGCTAGTGCACTCAGACAGGCTAGTTGAAATATGCAGCTTCTAGTACTCTGGCCTTCTCACCAATAGTTGCAGCTTCCTGCCTGCCACTCAGCTTATAACCTTTCTCCTGAACATTAAACATAGAAAAAAAAAATTGTCATATTTAAAAATGCAACCCAAACAGCTAATATATGTGAAGGAAGAGTTATATATGTATACCAGCAGACGCCAAAGGAAAGGAGCTCCTTCCCTCTTCTGGATCTGTTTCTCAATTGATTCAATTGCTACAATTCAGATTACTGAGTCAGAAACCAATCAACATAAACAACTTCAGATAACTTTCAATAAGATTAGGTGTCCTACCTTTGGTAACTTGTCCAGTATTCAGCAACATACTGTACCAGACTTCATTAAATACATCAAGCTGTTCATCAGATGCCCCGATTATCTGATAAACAGAAATCAATAATATTGACCAAATATTTGACAATGCAACCGAATTACCAACAAGCAAATTAATGGTTAATAACAGTACCTTGCATTTATAAGCATCGAAATCTGGATCAAGTATTTCTAGTGCTTGTTTTTCATTACCTCGTCCATACTCATACATGGCTTCCGCAAGCTAAGAACAAAATTTATTGAGAGACAGAGAGAGGGAGAGATAAGGAGAAATACTTGCAAAAAGAAAAGGTGGAAGCATGATAAAGAAACTAGGTCTTGATAAAACAGCCAAGTCTTGAAGCAAAAACCATGACACTAGTCACAACTGAGGCTGCATTAAGATAATAGTTGCAAATCTTAAACCCATCATCATTTTCTAATCCACCTAAAAACCTTGAGAAAAAGGAGAAAATAAAGAGACATGGTAATAACAAAAATCTTAACCATTTCAAAGTTCAAACACATTTTAAGACCTCTGGTCCTATACAAAGTTCAACAAAAGCTATATGGTAGGAGGGAGACATGCTGCTTATAAAGTAAAAGCATAAAAGTCTAAATAGTGATTGGAAATATTTATTGTATCAATAAAAGAAAATTGATTATAAATGCCAAAGGAAGCAACAATCAAAACATACCAGCATTGCTCTTTGCATTACTTGTTGCTTCTTCTTGCTCATCATGGATAGCCTACACAGAGAAATATAACAGCAATGAAGTGACCACATTTAAAAATGTCAAAAAGGAAAGAAAAATCTTTCTAACCTGAATTTCAAGCCCTTTAGTAGATCTTCTGCTTTAGAAAGTTCGCCGGTAAAAGATAAGGCCCATAATATCAACAAATCAAGGTGCCACTCTATAAACCAGTTAGCCTGAGCAACACAGCAAACACAGACATCAGAAAACAACAAGGTAAGTATTGGGTCAAAAGAAAAGGCCATGTACTTATGGTCCTTCATTAAAACATGGAACAAACATGACCTAAGGAAGTTTACACCTGAAGTACCATTTTAGTTTTACTGTTAGTAATGTCTCTTGTTCTATAACTGTGATACAGTACTTTAAATCCTCATTTTTTGGTCTGTATGAAAAATTGACTCTGCTTAACAAATTAAATAACAGGAACAAAAGCCAGAGTAGCTTGAACAACATCTAAGATGTTTTAGTGTCTGCCTAGAAGATACAAACCGCTTAATATCTGTAAGTGAAACACAGCTATCAAATTTGTATTATGTGAAGAGAGGATAAAGAGCTAAGGATTAAGAAAAAGGTAATTATAATTGTATGTATTGTTTATCCTTCCTCCAAACTCCTTGTAAATGTTTTTTGAAATTGTTTCCGGCATAAATCCTTGATAAAGAAATAGAAGTTGATTTAATCCAGGGCTGATACACAATCAAAACACAGTCACAGATAGGGTTGGCATCGGGTCGGGTTCGGGGCGGGTTTTGCTCGCCCCGAATCCGACCCGACTTAATGCTTAAAAAACCCGAACCCGACCCTACACGAATTTTTTTTTGTTTTTTCATACCCGAACCCGACCCGACACTATATAAACCGTACCCGACCCGACCCTACCCGAAATTAATAAAATATTATTTTTTAAATATAAATATTTAAAAATATCATTATATAAATATATATATAATTAAAAAATTAAAAAATTAATTAAAAAAATTATTTTTATATATATATCGGGTCGGGTAGGGTCGGGTTTGCCTAAACCCCGACCCGACCCCGACTTTGTCTTCATGCTACCCGACTCGACCCCGACCCGACCCCCAATTTTCAAAAAAAAAAAACCGACCCTAAAAAATCGGGTCGGACCGGTACTCGTCGGGTACGGATTTTTTTGCCTTCCCTAGTCACAGAGAAAACAAGTTGTATGAATAAACAGATGTCCAGGAACATGTCCAAGGTTCCACTTTACACAGAAGATAGCCACTCAGCTACAGCATCATCTATTGAAGTCCTATGATGCTAATATGTGTACTAAAATTCATAAATTAAAATGAACTCAAATGTCATTTCAGGTTAGGTCAATAAGCAGTCTAGAAACCATGTAATGGAAATTTAGCAACCCATATCAATTATTCCATATTCCAGACATGCATATAAATGTGTAGTTCAATAGAAGAGCCAACTATTCTTTTATGATGCCATACCAGGCATACATAAAACTAGAGGTACTTATCAGAAAATGTGATAGCGTTTCCAAGAATATCACTGGACATTGCAACCTTATAATTTCAATTCTAAACAGATATAAGTCATTGAAAATAAATTATATGAATAAACTTGTACATGAGCACCAACTCACTTCATCTGTTAGACATGCTGCCAAAATTTTCAAGCGGTCCTCAAAGGCATCTAGTTCTCCCCGTACATACACCCGCAACAACAGACCCAAAGCATTTAAGTACACCTATATGTGCAGGAGAAGTTAAAACTTGTAACTTCAAATTGTGGATGATGTTGAAAACATGGTAAAAAGAAGAAAGTACCTCTACACACACTGCATCAGTTTTTTCTAACTCCTTCCATATACAATGGTCGTAAACTTCTCTGACCTTTATAATTGGAGAATGACCTTCCAAATAACAAAGAGCCACATGCCACCAATTGTGGGTTAACCTAGATATTTTTCAAGCATTAATACTAGAACAAAATAAGAAATAAAAGTATAATTAAAACTCATTTAATGGCCTAAAAGGCATACATGAAAGATGAACAAGAACTCCATGAAGATGAGCATTCTTCCATGAACTGCACTGCTTCTTTGTAGTGAGATTGGTACTGAAGAACATGGCACAACTGCATAAGAAAACAAACACAATGAGAACTGCTCAAAGAATTACATATCTCTGGCAATTGTATATGCATACATAACAATCATTACAACCATTTGTTTTGTTATAAACAGGAATTGAATGTTTTGATGATCAATCTTTCCCTGGTTTGTTGTATAAATTAAGTGAAAGCAGCTTTCCAACAGATTACAAAAGGGTGCTCTTATTGTATATTCAACAAAAAATCAGTTGAAAATCCAATTTCAAATGCATATGGTAAAAGAAAAGTTCATTCAGCATATATATTATATAATTGGAAACAATAACCTAATACACAAATTAAGGAAAGAAATTTAATGTCTAGTCTTCAAAGCATACCGCAAGAATTAGAACTCACAGCATGTTGTGCCCAAAAGTCTTGCCTGTTGATCACATATCCCTTTTTTGCGGCATTCTCCGCATCAGCCATTCGTCCAAGCTCTAATAGTGGGAATGCAAGCATGCCATAAATATAATTTTCTTGTTGATTTTGAGGTAGAACCTATTAAATATACAAATCATTACAGGAAGCCACGATAAGGCAAATTTAAAGTTCTCATACAAAAAGTCAAAGTTGCTTGAATAAAAAGTCAATACAACATAATATGGCAAACAGCAATGCCACTAAACATTATGCACATTAATCCAGAGAGCAACAGACAATTGCATGAAAAATGGTTAGAGAAAGCTACCTATTTCCTCAATCCTTTTAGAAATGAGGAAAGATAATTCTTTACGGGATAGAAAGTCACCTGTTGGACAAGATCTAAAGACAGATCAGGTCGACCCATATAAAAGCACAGTACTTGTGCTCTCTTCAATGAAAGAAGATCTCTTGGAAAATCTCTCAAGAGCTGCAATCAATGTAAGGGAATCAATTACAATAAACAAATTTAAACAAACACTCCAGCCTAAATTTAAAGGAAGCAACAAATTGAGACTGGAGTTTGTATAGTCATGCTAATCATGAAGTATACCACCCGTATCATTGCATATAAATGCCAAATTATTCAACATGTAAACCATGGGACATTAATGATCTGGTCCTATTGTATAAACACAAGCTAGAAAGGTTCCAAAATAAAAACTTATGAAACCCACTATCCTTCTTGCCCTTTTCCATAATCTCTTACTATTTAAGCCCTTAAATTTTGTATCATATCATGGATTCCATTGGTGCGAGACAATATGGCAATACCTGCTAAATTATCTAAAAGGCTGGAAACTAATAACTATAATATAGTAGAAACATTAATTTACTTAGAGTTTTATGATTAAAAAAAAAAAAAAAAGAAAAACTGAAAAACGGGTACTCTACCTTAGAGTGTAACTCCACGGCAAGATCATCATCTCTATTATCAGAAATCAAATAATTGACAGCATCAAAAATGGCTTTCTCATAAGAGGTGGCTTGCTCCTACTCAAAACAAGAAAAAGCCAAATTACCACTATTTCCAACTTCAAAATTTCCAGTCAGAATTCCTTGTACTTTCTAAGTGAAAACCAGATATATAGAATGAGAGAAAATTACAAGTCTAGACTTGGCAGCTTCTATATATGAAGGAGCCTTAGAAGGGTCAGAGGAACAGAGAAAATGGGCGGCCAAAATGTTGGCTAAAACGCAGTCTTTGTCATGAACAGGCGCTTCTAAGATCACTCTCCTATCTCTCCCATAACAAAGCACCTGCGACAGTTAACACAAACAAACTATACTACAGAAACTTGACCAGCCAACAAAGAATTACCAATTCAAACAGAGAAAACAGTTATTGAAAGAGAGGGAAGAATTGAAGACCTGATGGTAGTAAGCGTTGATTACAGATATGCAAGAATCGGAAGAGGTTTTAACTTCATAACCCCATTTATCCAATTTCACTCCTTCCATTTTTTGGGAGAAACAGAAACAGAAGAGAAGACACGAGATGAGAATAGGAATAAGAATGGGGTTGGTAGCGTGAGCGGGGCTCGCAAATGTGTTAGGGAATAGAAAGCTGGAATTGAAAAAGACAGCCGGATTAGCTACAGGTGTTGGAGATTTTTATTGGCTAATATATGTAGTACGCAAAACTCCAACTACATACCAATCCTGTAAGGTGTTTTAAATATATTTCCAAATTTTGTCTATACATTTTAAATTTTTAAAAAAATATATATACCTAACAAATACTAATTTTAACCTTTAATAAATAATAAAAATACCCTCAATCCTCTCTACACAACCTTTTTTCTTCTTCTTCTTCTTATGAAAATAATTATATTATATTTTTAAAAGTAAATTTATGAGAATGCAATATAATTTTTTAAAATCTATCTTCAGAAATACAATATAATTTTTAAAAATTTATTTTTGAGAATTAAATTGCTGTATTAGAAATTTATTTCCTAAATTTATATTATATTTTTAAAAATTAATTTTTAAAAATAATAAATAAATACATTTAATTTTAAAATAAATAATACATGTAATTTTAATTTAAATAAAATAAATAAATTTAATCTTAAAGTAAATAATACAAATATAGGAATATTGGAGATAAGTTCTTGAGTAAGAGTGGGTAGGAGTGGTCAAGTCATCCATATGCCCATTCTTACTTAATCATATATATGAATGAAAGAGATATGTTAGTTCTCAAATATGTATAGGTACGAAGATGCTCTTGTTTTGAGACTAAAAAATCAAAAACATTTTTTTGCTTAAGCAAAACTAGAAAACTAAAAAAAAGGTATTTTCAATTTTCAATTTTTTGGAAGTAGTTTTCTTAAAAATGGATTTTCAAGAAGATTTAAAGTTTCTCGAAAATGGATATCCAGTTTTGAAAAGCTCGATTGCACTTATTTTCTAAAAATGAAGAGAGAAAAAGAGAGAGAGATGGTAGAAATAGAAAATAAAAAGTGATGGGGTGTATTTAGTAAAAATAAAAATTAATTTTAAATTTAAAGTGTATTTAAAAGTAAGTGTATAGAATAATAAATGGGATGTAAATAGAAATTTTCCTATAGATAACTTTATATGGGTAACATGGTTAATTGTGTAGTTGTCAATTTACTTGTTTAAGGACCTAAGTGATATCAATGCATGCAGGGTCCATTTTCCAAGCAAAGGCTAATGGTAATAGGAGCTCAGAGGCGATTGCCTCTTTTAATTTTTAAAAATCTCATCATATATATTCATATTAAATAAATAAATTGACTCCTTTATTTATAATTTTTTTTATTTATTATAACTTAAGAGAGTTAAAACCACATTATTATTTATTTACTGTACCAAACATCATTAACTTTAATTCTTTAAAATCAATAAATTTATTGTAAGAATTAAATTACAATTAAGTCAATTTAATAAAAGCAAAGCTCATTTTCTTACTTTTTCAACAAGATTTCAAACAAAAAATGAAACATATTTTTAATTTTTTGTAGGACTATAATTTTCTTCCTTTTCAAATAATTTTTCATTTTCAATTCTATTTTAAATCTCTCTCTTTGTTGTGAAGCAAATTTTTTAATAAAAAGTAAAATTAAAACCACTTAAAAAATCTTAATTTATAATCTCAAAGTTTTAACATTATTCTTTTGATGATGTATTTTATTTTCTTGTTTCGATAAAAATATATAATTTAATAATTGATTTATATATATTTTAAAAAATTTGCTCATACTTTTAAGTAAAATTATTTATTTGATATATTTTATTTTTTATACATTTATTTCTTTTTATAAAAAAATTAAGATCATATATAATATTCTCTTTCTTTGATATGATGCAAAAAATTTTTTTTTATAGAAAAGTAAAACTGATCACCACACTATTCATCTAGAATCATTCATAATGCAAGATCAACATGACCCGATCAATCCCCTATGAAAATGGATTGATCCTTTACCTTGAATGCTCAAATTTTGAAAAAAATTCATAACTCAATCAATCCCTTAATGGACCATATTGATCTTCTTGCTCTTTACAACTTCCAACAACTAGTTTTTAAAGAGATAAACATATCATTTCTTCTCCAACTTAATCCCAACTACTCCAAATCATTTTTCTCTCTATAAAGAGGTCTTCCAACACCCATGAAGAAAAGAGTAGCATGGGAGAAAGTTCGTAAAGCCAAATCTACAAAATTCTCTAAGAAAATTATGAGCAAAAAAGAGTTTAGAGCTCAAATTTCATATTCCTTGTATTTATTGTATCCAAATTATTTAGTCTCTCATTAGTACTTCAACTAGGCAAACACTCAACCTTGTGAGGTATCTTTAGTTTGCAAAATGTTAGAGTTTAATTATAATTAAAAGTTGAGGTATCCTTTTGAATGATTTTGAAAGTTTTTGTAAAAATTCATTTTGAGTAATTAGCGGTTGTTATCTTAGCCTTAAAAAGGTAGAAAGTTAGAGGTTATTATTTTAGCCTAGAAAGATAGGGAGTGAGAGGTTATACCTTAGCCTTGAAAGGCAGTTTTGTAAGAATTTTAAGAACTAGTGGATTAGGATTCAAAGCTAGGAAAGCTAAGGGAAGGACATAGATGCCTTTGGAGAAGGATCGAATCTTAATAAATTTTTATGTTTGATCTTTCTCCTCTACTCCTTTATTTTTAATTATTGTTTATTTATTCTTTAATTTCATATGTTTCTTGTATTTTCAATTTCATTTTTATTTTACATTTATTTGAAATTTATTTTTGGGAAGAATTTATAGACAATCAAATTCACCCCATTTTGGATTGTTATCTAAACTTGAGTTAACAATTGGCATCAAAGCTTGGATTCCATTTTTGTAGGTCTAACAACCTTGTCTAAAAGATCTATGGCTTAAGAGGGTTTCCAAGGTGGTGAGAAAATTCTTAAATCTCATAAAATTGAAAATTGTGAGTAATATCTTTTGTAGTGTACTAGAGTAAGGAGCTACAAAAGTATTGACTTGAAGATTAGATACTCTAGGCACACAATGAAAACTCGATAACCTCTAAGCCAAATTTTTATTTGAAGTAAATATGAAATTTGGTTACCTATTATTAATTGAATTTTGAGTGCTTAATTACTGGTTATTGATATATGCTTTATATTGTTGTACTAAATTGATTCTATGATTGTATAATCTATAAATATGGACCTAAATTAAATATGTGTTTGTTTATGCTCTTGAAGTGCTTCAATAATAACTTTTTGATTTTGCAAAAATTCAATATTTTTGATATGCTTAATCTTGAATATGTTATTACATTTGCTTTTGAGTGCATAATTGTGATATAAATATTGTCTCATACTTGTTAAAATTGATTTTGATACTTAATTACTTGAGATATATTCATATTTTAATTTAAGGAGAGTATTTTCATAAGATTTACCTTTATTAAAACTTCTTAATATTGACGGTTTATTATTAATATACATGATGGAAATGAGTTTTTGTAACTGTTTGGTTGAATTGTATATATGCACAAATTTAGTGGAGCATACAAAGTTTAATGATTTTGAAATTTTATGTTTTGCTTTGAAAAATGATTTTTGCAAAATTCAAGCTTTAAAATGTAAAATTTTTTAGCAAGTTTTTAAGTGCAAAATTAATTTGAATATTTTTAGTTCAAGAATTTAAACTTGTTCAAGCAAATAAACTTGATTAACTTGCAATGCTTTAAAATTTTCATTGTGTTACGTACAAGTTTTAAGAGATTTTAGAGTTTAAAAAATCAAATCTTTTTGAATAAATATGGGCATAAAAATCATTTGGATAATTTAAAATTGTGATCAAACTTTTCCAAATGATTTAATGAATTTAAATATGTGTTTAAACATATTTGCCCATTTTAGTAGTCTTTTTCAAGGAAATATAGTGCTTAAGAGTTTTTTTTTTTTATTTCATTGTTTCTAAGACTAAATGATCACTTGAACAACTTTGCTTTATCATTTAACTGTTGTTAGAATAGTTGAAGATGGATATGAATAAGCTTGACTAATTTTGAAATTTTTTAAGGTTCTTTTCAAGTAAAAATGAGTTTTAATGCATCAAAAATCAAAATCTTGGATACATTAAGCATTGAATTGTTATCCTATTTGGTTTTGCATAAATAAACTTGATTGATTGAGTTTAGTATGATAAATATAGTTTTTAATGGCCTTAATGCATTTTATAAGTATATGTTTATGTTTGAATAGTTTGAGGTCTAAGGAGCTTACTTGAGAAATTTATTCATATTGCAAATGTTTTAGGACTCAAACAAGTTTGCTTATGTGAGAAAAATGTTTCTAAACTTGTTTTAATATTATTTGAATGAAAGTCACAAAGGTTTAATATTTTAAGGGTGTTTATGGAATTATTCATTACATAAGACAATTGAAAATTTGAAATATATGCATTTGTTGAATATTTATGATCTTAATTCATATCTATATAATCATTTCAAACTTATTTGAAGTGGTTTCAATGCATAAACATTGTCTAAACACATTTGCATACTTGATTTTCAAAAAGCGTGTTTATGAAACTAGTCATTACATAAGATTTGGAGTTGGATTTGGATCTTAATTAACTTGGTAATCATAATTGGATTAGTACTTGCATAACTAGAATAAATTAAGAATCGTAGTTGAATTAATAGTCCTAAATAGTTTAGGATATTAATTGCACAAGGAACTACAAATCCTATTTTGGTTAGAACTAAACCACTAATCTTAGTTTGACTAGGATTTTCCAATATAAATAGTTTGATTTTGGATTTTAATTAATTGATAATCCTAAATGGTTTAGGACATGAATTATCAATTTAATTAAGTATCCAAATTAAATTATAAATCCTAAATGGTTTAGGAAAAATAATTAGAAACCACTTATCCTAAAACATGTTGTAGACACATTCGGCCATATTGTCTTAATTTGTCTAGGTTCTAAATAATGAATTATTTGAACCAAATAAAGCCTTGCATCATAATAGTTGAGTTAATATTTGAAAACATGATATTGATATTAATTCAAAAGATAGG